CTCCCTCTCTCCACCCCCCCCTCCCCCCCCCCTCTCTCTTTCTCTCTCTCTTACTCTCTCTCTCTCACTCTCTCACTCTCTCCCTCTCTCTCTCTCTCTCTCCCTCTCTCTCTCTCTCTCTCTCTCCCTCTCTCTCTCTCTCTCTCTCTCTCTCTCCCTCTCTCTCTCTCTCTCTCTCTATCTCTCTCTCTCTCTCTCTCTCTCTCTCTCTATCTCTCTCTCTCTCTCTCTCTCTCTCTCTCTCTCTCTCTCTCTCTCTATCTCTCTCTCTCTCTCTCTCTCTCTCTCTCTCTCTCTCTCCTTCTCTCTCTCTCTCTCTCTCCCCTCTATCTCTCTCTCTCCCTCTCTCCGATGACGGATTTCTAGACCCACCTGTCTTGTAGGGGTAGTCCCACGCTTGTTTCTTGTAGGGGTAGTCCCACGCGATACAGCAGGGCGGAAGAGAGGCGATAGAGCAGGGGGGACGAGAGGCGATAGAGCAGGGAGGAACAGAGGCAGAGAAAAGCAAGGAGGGGGAGAGGAGAGAGAGGGGGGTGGGGGGTGAGGGAATGAGGTGAACTGCGGAAAGGAGGGAGGGAGGAGAGAGAGGGGAGAGGAATGAGGTGAACTGCGGAGATGAGGGGGAGACATGAGAGTTAAGAGGCGCCATAAGACGGACCGGTCTGCGGCTTGGGCGGCAGACCAGGAGAGCGGAGTGAGAGCAGGGGAGGGACCTGGGGCATGAGAGTGCCCTCAGAGAAGGGGGGGTTCGAGCAAGGGAGGGGTAGTAGAGTGAGATCATGGGATGTGAAAGAAGTGAACACAGGGGACGGGGAGATGAGTGAGAGCAAGGGAGGGGGAGATGAGTGAGAGCAGGGGAGGGGGAGATGAGTGAGAACATGGGAGGGGGAGATGAGTGAGAGCAAGGGAGGGGGAGATGAGTGAGAGCAAGGCAGGGGGGATGAGTGAGAGCAAGAGAGGGGGAGATGAGTGAGAGCAAGGGAGGGGGAGATGAGTGAGAGCAGGGGAGAAGGAGAAGAGTGAGAGCAAGGGAGGGGGAGATGAGTGAGAGCAAGGGAGGGGGAGATGAGTGAGAGCAAGGGAGGGGGAGAGGAGTGAGAGCAAGGGAGGGGGGATAAGTGAGAGCAAGGGAGGGGAGATGAGTGAGAGCAGGGGAGGGGGAGATGAGTGAGAGCAGGGGAGGGGGAGATGAGTGAGAGCAGGGGAGGGGGAGATGAGTGAGAGCAGGGGAGGGGGAGATGAGTGAGAGCAGGGGAGGGGGAGATGAGTGAGAGCAGGGGAGGGGGAGATGAGTGAGAGCAGGGGAGGGGGAGATGAGTGAGAGCAAGGGAGGGGGAGATGAGTGAGAGCAGGGGAGGGGGAGATGAGTGAGAGCAAGGGAGGGGGAGATGAGTGAGAGCAGGGGAGGGGCTCTCTCTCTCTCTCTTTCTTTCGGGCTCTCTCTCGTCCCCTCCCCCGTCGCTGTGTCTCGCTCGTACCTTTTGCGCGCGTCAGCTATTGCTTGTCTGGTCGCAGCCTCTCGCCTCTTGGCGGCACGGTGGTATCGTGGGTTTCTGTGGCAGGCCGTCTTCGACTGTGGGTTATGTGGCTCGGGTCTGCTACTGCGCGGTCCCGTCGAACTCGGTTCGTTCGAGGGTAAGTCAGGGGTGGCTGTTCCGACTACTTAGTGACTACGGATACTGAGCTGAGCAGGGACGTGACTGGCTTATGTTGCTTATTCCCGTCGCCTGTACACCCAACCTCGATCTTGAACATTCCCGTCACGCTGTTTCAGCGGGGCTTGGTGCTGCTCTGCGATTTCTTCAGGGGGTCGCAGTTACGCCTCACGGAAGTCTGCGTTGTGACGCGCATCTGCCCGGCCGTGTGGTCGACGCATTTTCATGCGCGGTTGCTATTTCTTTTTGTTTTCCGATGCATAGTCAGCGCTAGACGTGCTGCGCCTTCCATCTGGTGTGGTTTTGCGCATTTTGGCGGTTTTCATTCGTGCTCGAGCTCTTGTTCCCTCGTCTGTTGTTCCGCATTTGCCGCTTGAGGGGAGATGGTGCCCTTTGTCGCGTGCATACGTTGTTGTTGCCACATGACGCGTTTTGTTTTGTTTTTTTTTTCCTGCTTTTTGCCGCGCAATCGTCGGGTAGAGGGACTTTCTGCGTCGTACCAATATGTGTTTTTCTCTTTCGGCTCTTGCTGCGCGTTTTTCGTTTCCTGATTGGTTTTCTGCACTGCTGCGTGGGTGGCGGAGCTTTTGTGTCTCACGGTTTTGCACCTGTCTTCATTGTTCTACGTTAGCGAATGCTATGGGGTAGTTGGCGGCATTCGCCTCCAAAATTTCAAAGCCAGGTTCTTCGCATCCCTTGCAGCCAATCAACCCTGGCTCCCCTTTTACGAGCCGCGCTCTCCAAAGGGGGACTTCGCGCCTTGTAACTTGGGACCTGGGCTTTAAGGTGTGCCACACTGTAGGACAGTGAGCACTGGCATTATCCCAGGCATGAGCCCAGCCCGAGAGTCAGCGGAAACTCTAAAAAAAAACAAAAGAGAAAGATTAGAGGAGCAACCCGGGTTTGAACCGGGGACCTCTCGATCTGCAGTCGAATGCTCTACCACTGAGCTATTGCTCCACGGAAATGTTGTGATATTAATATAATAAGTAATTTAAACGTTTGTCATTTCCCTGTGACAGATTTCCCGTCAGATAGCCGAGTACCCACTGCAGACCTGCTGCTGTGCAACTGCTGGCGGATTCTCTAACCTTCACCTATTCTTCTCAGATCCGGTAAGAGCCGTCCTCGTGCCGTCTACGGCTGATCTTTCGGCGCGCAATCGCGGCGATGGGGGTGGAGATCCACGTGAAGCACCTGTCCAACACCAAGTACTCGCTGGAGGTGGATCTATCGGCCACGGTGCGCGACCTCAAGGAGCAGCTCGTCGCCAAGTCGGGCATCGCCGTGCCGCAGCAGCGCCTCATCTTCAAAGGCCGGATTCTCAAGGATGACGTCACCCTCGACAGCTGCGGTACGCCTCGCGACGCCTTGCCGTCTGCCGCTCTGCTCGGGAAGCCGCGCCTCGCGTCCTTTGGGTTGCGGAGAGCGGTCGGTGTAGATCTGTGTGAAGATTTGTAGAGCGGTATAGAGCGTTGTGGAGGTGCGTCGTACTGGGAATCGGACTGACACAATCTGCCCCACGAGCGATCTCGCGACCTTAGCCACCCTAGATTTCACGGTCGTAGGAAGTTCACTCGACGGCCGTAGGCAGCTCATTTGACGGTGGTAGGGGACGTTGTTCCGCCCCTCGGGGACCGCGCACTGTGCTCCCTCCCTTTCCGCCACTCCCGGAGTCCTCCTTAACCCTGTCCCCCTCTCTTCTTCTCGCCTTCTCTCGTCCGATCCTGTCTCCCGCCCTCCACCTCTCCGCGTCCCTGCCTCCTGACCCCTTGTCTCGTCGTCCTGCGCTACCCGTCGCGCATCGTCTGCGTTGCCCGTTTCTCATCCCATGGTGGGCCGCGGGCCGGGGCTTTGCTCCTCGTTTTGCTCCGCACCGAGATTCAGTGGTTAACGCGCGGGGAGGCGGTGGAGGGCGGTGCTCGCTCGCCATGGCCCTTTCTGTCCTGGTCGCCGTCCTCGTTTGCGCTTGCTATGTATGCAGCCCTGCCACCCGTCCCCCTCCTCTCTCCCGCCTCACCGTCCCCCACCCCCCGCCAATTCCTCTCCGCCCCGCGCCCGCCAGGCATAGAGGCGGATTCCACGCTGCACCTAGTCCGGGGAGGCGGCGCAGCAGTAGCGGCCGGCCCATCCGCGACTCCGTCGGCCGCGCAACAAGGCACAGCCGCCGCACCGTCAGCAGCCGCACCACAGGCGGCAGCAGCAGCGGGCGCAGCCGCCGGAGGCCCCCAGCGCGTCCCCCCCGACCTGCTGGCCGCCGCCCTGGGGGGAAGCGGGGGCGCGGACCCACTAGGACTGGGGGGACTAGGCGGGCTAGGCGGGCTGGGGGGGCTGGGCGGACTGGGGGGCCTGGGGGGTCTCGGGCTTGAGGGCGGCGCAGGGGGGGGGCTGCCGGGGTTGGAGCAGTTTCAGCAGCAGATGCTGCAGAACCCCGAGATGATCCGCGACATGATGAACATGCCCGCCGTGCGCGCGCTCATGGACAACCCCGCCGTCATGCGCTCGCTGCTGGCCAGCAACCCGCAGATGCAGCAGCTGATGGAGCGCAACCCCGAGCTGGCGCACGTGCTCAACGACCCCGCCGTGCTCCGCCAGACCATGGAGGCGGCGAGGAACCCCGAGCTCATGCGCGAGATGATGCGCACGACGGACCGCGCGATGAGCAACATCGAGGCGATGCCGGGCGGGTTCAACATGCTGCGCAACATGTACCACAACGTGCACGAGCCCCTCATGGACGCCGCCACCGGGGGCGGCGCAGGGGGAGGCACGGCTGGGGCGGGGGCTGGGGTGGCTGGGGGGGGTGGGGGGGGTGCGACGGGTGCACCGGGTGCGGAGGGTGCTGGTGGCCCGGCGAACACGGCTCCGCTGCCGAACCCATGGGGGGGTGGAGGTGAGGATGGCAACTCTTGTGCTCTGTGGCGTTCTGTGTGGTGTGGTTACGTGATGCACTCTGGTGGGTGGTTACGTGATGCACTCTGGTGTGTGGTTACGTGATGCACTCTGGTGTGTGGTTACGTGATGCACTCTGGTGTGTGGTTACGTGATGCACTCTGGTGTGTGGTTACGTGATGCACTCTGGTGTGTGGTTACGTGATGCACTCTGGTGTGTGGTTACGTGATGCACTCTCTTGTGTGGTTACGTGATGCACTCTCTTGTGTGGTTACACGATGTGCTCTGTGTGTGGTTACACGATGTGCTCTGTGTATGGTTACACAATATGCTCTGTGTGTGGTTACACGATGTGCTCTGTGTGCGGTTACACGATGTGCTCTGTGTATGGTTACACGATGTGCTCTGTGTGTAGTTACACGATGTGCTCTGTGTATGGTTACACGATGTGCTCTGTGTGTGGTTACACGATGTGCTCTGTGTATGGTTACACGATGTGCTCTGTGTGTGGTTACACGATGTGCTCTGTGTATGGTTACACGATGTGCTCTGTGTGTGGTTACACGATGTGCTCATCATGTGTGTGTGCTTCTCATGATGTGCTCATCATGCAACTGCCAAGGCGTGTCTTCTCATCCACTCCCTTTTCTCGCACACTCAAGCTCATCGTGCTGCCTGCCATACCCGCTCGTCGCATGCACAATCCCTGCTCCTTCAGCTCCCTGGCCTCGCTGTTTCTAACTCGCCTGCATCTCTTTTTCACCCGCCTCCTTGCTATCCCCCCTCCCTTCATTTACCTCCTTATCTTCTACTCTCATCTCCCATCCTCCCCTGCACCTCCATCACCACCACGTCCCCCCAGCGGCAGGCGCTCAGCGCACCGCGCCTGCAGGGCTGGGCAGCGGGCTGCCGGGCTTGAACGTGGTGGACCTGCCGTTCGCGCCCATCGCACTCGCCGACCTCTCCGACCCGCCAGCCGTGCTGCGCTCTCTCGTGCTGCTGCGCGTGCTGCTGCGCGTGCCGGGCGTGGCCCAGCAGCTGGACGAGCGCCTGGGCGACGCCGACTTCGTGGCGGAGGCGGTGCGGGCGAGCACGCTGCTGCAGGGGCAGGTGGACGCCAGTGAGTCACTGCGCGCACTGCTGGGGGACACGGCGGCGCTGCGACAGCTGGTGAGCGGCGAGGGGCTGGAGGCTCTGACTCGGGCGGGCGTGGTGGAGGGGCAGCTGGTGGGCAGCATGGGCATGGTAAGGCGCCTCATGGGGGGCGCGGGGGGAGGGGGGGGGGCAGCAGGGGGAACTGGGGGAACAGGAGCAACCGCTGGGGGGACTGGTGCGGCAGGAGCCGGGGCAGGTGGCGCAGCAGCGCCAGGGGCAGCAGGGGGGGCAGGGGCAGGAGGAGGGGGTGTGGGGGACCTGGATGCGCTGATGCGGACCCTCATGGGGCCCGCCATGGCTGCAGCCGCTGCACGAGGAGGGGGGGGCCTGGAAGGGCTGGGCGGGCTGGGAGGGTTAGGAGGAGGGCTGGGAGGGCTTGGAGGGCTGGGAGGAGGGGCGGTGCCGCCGCCAGGGGTGTCAGCGGAGGACTTCTACGCAACGCAGCTAGGGCAGCTGAGGGACATGGGGTTCGGCAACGAGCAGGACAACATTGCCGCGCTCAGGGCTACAGGGGGCAACGTGCAAGCCGCCATTGAGAGGCTGCTGGGGGGGTAGAGTGGGTTTGGTAGGGATGGTGCGTTGAGGGTGTTTGATGTTTTTGAGCTCCTGCAAGATGTGTATGAGACTCGGTGTTCAGAGGCTTCAATTATGGCAGCTCGTGAGATACAAGGGACATTCATGTGTGCGTCTGTTTGTGTACATGCGACTGGGAATGTACCAGTAATGCAGCACCTGGAACTGCACGCAGTCCTCAGTCTTTGGTCTCGTGCACACACGCGCGACCACCTACGTCCCCGATCCGACTCCCCTGTCCGAGATTCCTCGGTTCCCTCGCCGTTGTCCGCCGCTGTCTGTCAACTTATACATGAAATAAAACGTATGGTGTTGTAGTAGACTAAGTATAAAACTATAAACACGAACACTTGGCAAATCCTCAAGTGTTGGTCCAGGATCTTTGCTGGAATGGTAGACTAGTAAGACAGCGGAAGTCTTGTAAAAGTCAAGGTTGAATAACCTGAGTACGTGAACTTGCGAGTAATCAAAGTTAATAATAAAAAGACCTAACAAGTGTTCATAGTTCTAGGAAAAGTACCTATTCGCTAATGTACCTGTTCGTCATTATCGCGCTATGCGCTCTAAACGATATTGAAGAGGTGCGACTGTTCGCGTGACTGAAACGACTGCCCTATGACGAGCGCTATTTGCTGACGTCACCCTACGGACTTATCTTCTACAATCTGATTTGACACTAATTACACTTAATCGACTTACAGAAATGCTAAGTATCAATTATATCACAACACTCCCCTTCATTTCTGGAACGTCGATAGTGTTACTTCTTGAAGATTCCGCAGAGCTTGTTACAGTACTGAAATTTCTGTCGTGTCAGCTTCATCGTGAGAAAATCGGCAGCCATTTCGTTGGTCGAACAGTAGACCAATCGCATCCTCCCCTTCTCGACTTCATCTTTGACGAAAAAATAACGAAGCGAAATATGCTTCGTCCTATTGACGAAACCAGGTTGATGTGCGATGCGAATTGCACTTTGATTGTCGCACTGTAGGGTAAACTGGGTAGTTGTCGTCAACTTCGCTTCTTCCAACAGTTCCTGTAACTAAAGTCCTTCGCGTGTTGCTGTGCAGATAGCAATAAACTCAGCTTCAGCAGAGGAGAGTGCAATCAGCTCCTGCTTCGTAGAATTCCAAGAGATAGGTCCGATAGGTTCCAGTCGATAGATGAACCCAGTGCGCGACCGTCGATTAGTAGAAGCAGCAGCGTGATCGGCGTCGACAAAACCATGTAGGTAGAGTGTTTTACAACCGATGACGTTGTAGACTAAACCGACGTCAGGTGTCGAGATAAAATATTGAAGCGCGCGGAGAAGATCAAGCTGATGCTCTTCCTCAGGACGGCGTAGGAACTGTGCGAGCTGACTGGCCGCGTAGGCTAGATCAAGACGACAAGTGACAGCGGCGAAGAGTAGACAGCCTAGCTGTTGTTGATAGATCTGTAAACCGGTTGAAGTTAACAGGGCGGTGTTCGGTTTGTGGTCAGTTGGTAGTGAGTGGTACGGTGTAGAGACTGCAGTAGGTGTGAGGTTGAAGCGGGCAGCGAGTGTTGCTGCATACTTAGAAGCGGTGAGATGAATAGTTGTCGGTGAACAGGTAATGTTCAGACCGAGAAAGTGTGAGACTGTTTCGGAGACGGTAAGCTGTAGATTTTTCTGTAATTTCAGTATGAAGGTCTGAGCAAGAGAATCGGTAGTACTGACGTATAGGATGTCATCGATATAGGCGACGAGTAAAATATAGTTGTTGCCGTCTGTCAGTAGATACATTCCTTGGTCATGAGGTAGGTGACAAAAACCGGCAGCGATCAGTTGTGAGTGGAGATACTGCTGCCAGAGCCGTGGTGCCTGTTTAATGCCGTATAGGGATTTTCGGAGACGGCAAATGCTCGGTGGGTTAGTAGTATAGGAATGCGGGTACTCTACCAGGATAAGCGCGTCGACAGGCACGTAGAGAAACGCATTCGAGACGTCGATTTGTCGAAGTCGGAGATTACGGCAGGCGGCGACACAAAGTAGAATCCGAACGCTTGTATGTCGGCCGACAGGAGCAAAAGTTAATTCATAGTCGATGCCGTAAGTCTGTTCGAACCCGCGGACGACCCATCGCGCCTTGAATTTCTCAAACGAACCGTCTGCATTAGTCTTGACGCGGAAGACCCATTTTTCGGTAAGTACCTTCTTCCCTTTTACTTCTGAAGTTGGTATTAAATTCCATGTGCCGCGATTCTTGAGTGCTGCTAGCTCCTTGTCCATGGCTTCGTGCCATTTTTCTCGGTGAGGACTCGTAAGAGCTTGTCGAACTGTTTTCGGTTCAGGTATCTTACTGCCGTTGTACTGTACTGTTACTGCGAACCCCAGTATCTGTAATCCTGTTTCTGTAAAGCGTGGACGTTCTTCCTTTGCACCTGCGAAACTTTCTTCTGGTCCTTCTTCCCCCCCAATTTCGTCAGGTGTAAGACGGACTGCTTCGTCGGAGACGACGGGCATCGGCTGCTGTTGGCGATCGCGTTCGTAACTGAGATGAACTTCACGAACATCATCCTGGTCAGCATCTGCAAGAGGAATGAATTCAGGTATGCCGGTCGAGGTTATAGGTTCGGGAATGTCTGTTGCGGCAGCTACGGAAGCTTCAGAAACATCCTCGTCCTGGACATCAGCTTCGGCTTCGTCAGTTGCAAATGCACGCGAGCCTTCGAACAGCCTGGCAGGATTGGCAGGTGCTGCCTGGTGGGCACGAAAGACGGGCAAGGTGAGTCGTTCATAGAAATGACAATCACGTGATGGAACGATTTGGTGTGATCGGAGATCCAAAATCTTCCACGCGTGATATTGTTTTTCGATGCCGAGATGTACCCCCCATTTTGCTCGTTTGGAAAATTTTCCGAGTGCTGCGGTTGGAGGACGAAACTGTACAACACACCCGAAAACTCGTAAAAGTTTTGTGCTCCCTATTGTACGTGTCCACTACAGGTGTGGAGAGGAGAACTCGGGCAGGGACGTTGAAGAAATAAGATTGTGTAACAGCACGGCGTGATCCATCGCATACGGTCAAAAATGTGGTAGAACTGCTGCCTGCGTCAGCAGAGCACGCATCTTCTCCTGCAGAGTCCTGTTCAACCTTTCTGCTACCCCCATCTGTTGGTGTGCATGCGGCAGAGACTGCTTCCGTTTGATGCCGAGTGTCTGAAGGTAGTCTGTGAAAGTATTGCTGGTGTACTCCTCTGCACCGTCACTTTGAAATTCTTGCAGTTTCACTCCTGACTCTCGTTCAGCGACAGCGAGCCATGCGACGAAGGCGGAGTGAGCGAGATGGCGCGCAGGTAAGTTGGCTGTCCAGACATAGCGTGTAGACGGGACATTCGTTGGTGCTGCTGCAGTTGCGAGTATAACGTTTGACACTGCTGCTGTTGATGTTGTGGCAGGTATGTCGGTGACAGCGACTGTTGGACTCGGCTGCTCAGCTACTGCTTCTTGTTCGGCTTCTTCAACAACATTAGGTTCATCAGCTGCAAGACCACTTATCTCTCCCCAAAGTGGTGCTGGAGTTCCTTGGAAGGCTGAACGGGTATTATAAAACGTTCGCCACGCGGTGGCGCTTTCATCAGCGGTATTGAACTCCCAGGTATCCAACGCGGTAAGGACGGCGGCTGCAGTTCGAGAAGTCGTTGGTACAGTAGTTGCTCGAAAACCAATATCCACGTTTTGATAATCTGTTTCTTCTGGGTGATCCCAGGACCAAGTGCAAGGACTCGTTCAGAATCGCCAGAAGTTCCTTGTGCTGTGAACTGAAGAACGGATACGCCATGTTGAGTGGCGGCACGACCAAGATAAGTATTCGTCAAACTGTGCCAGAGCTCCTGATCCATCGTGTCACAATTGCCCTGTGTACGAATTTTGTGTGCCAGGAGTTGAGCCGTGGAAAGAAGATTGAAGCCAAGACCGGCGACGATAAGAACATTAGTAACATGAAGTGAGTATCCCGTGTCGATAGATTCGAGCATGAAACTGCCAACTGCTCGTGCCATGATGGTTTGTCCGTTTGCGACTGTTACAGGTATCGGACGACGAAGTGAACGCTGATTGGTAATGAAGCTTGTTTCTGCTGAGCACATGTGCCATCCGCAGCAACTGTCAAGATACCAGGTATTCGGACCTGAAATTATTCGAGCGAGGTTAGCGTAAACTTGAGGTAAAGGAATGCCTTCAGCACTTGTGGTTTCTTCAAGTCGGGTCTCAAAATCTGTTTCTGAAACATCAACTGTTGTAACACATCCGAAAACTCCTTTTCCTGATGTGGCAAATGCGAAGACCGGTGGACGATGCAGCGACACTGTTGAATTCTGTGACGGTTTTGGCATCTGCTGCTGCTGAGTAGTTAACTGCTGCTGTGGTTGTGTCTTCGGTAACTGCTGCGATCGTTGATACGGCTGCGAAGTGTGGCGACGAGTTTGATGACGGCTGCGACAGTTTTGGTAAGTATGTCCTGGTTTCTTACAGAAGTGGCAGAGTGGATACTTTGGTGGATGTCGATGCTATTGTTCTGGATTGGAGTAAAAACTTAAATAAAGCCCCTTTTTCTGATTTCGTTGTGATTGCAGGTCAAGATCTTGCTGCTCTGCTTGAAGATAAGGAGAAATTTCTGCTTCGGAGAGGTTGGGGTTCATGGGCAGAAAGGCGCGCGTCTGTCGCCATTCGGGTCCAAGACCAGCCAGAAGCACCGTGAGATACATTTCACGAGGGAAGTATCCCCCACTTTTCTCCAGTTGATCTCGTAGAGTACGGACGCGGTTGACGTAATCCATGACGTTCTCATTTGTCATCATCTGCACACTTGTCAACTGCGAATGTATTTTACTCACTGTTATCGTATCCTTTGCCATGTATACCCCTTTCAGATGGTTCCATGCAGTTTCGGCTGGTGTGAAACTTGGGTGAAATGATCGAACGCCGAGCTGCTCCTTCAGCGACAAGTTCCGTACAAGAACTGTATACGCCGTGAGAGAGGCGTGCAAGAAACTCTGCTGCTCCAGTTGTGTTCCCACGATAGGGTACGTAAATTCGCCAGTAAAGAACGGCCATAGCCCAGCAGACTGCGCCAGAAGCTCAAACTCAAAGCTCCAGGAGTAGAAGTCAACACCATTAAAAGGTACGGTTGTCTTGATTTGAGTATTGTTAAGTAAATTTGGAGGCTGAAAAACAATGCCTGGCTGTTGCTGTTGTTGCTGCTGCTGTTGCTGTTGCTGTTGTTGTTGCTGTTGCTGTTGTTGTTATTGTTGTTGTTGTTGCTGCTGTTGCTGATATTGCTGTTGCTGTTGCTGTTGTTGTTGTTGAGCAGGGGAACGACCGAAGATGTAAAAAGGATGCTGAAACTGCTGCGACTGCGACTGCTGTACGAAAGGTGAGAAAGCGAATAAACCAGTACTTGGAGCTATAGCTCCACGCATGTAACTTGAGGCGTCAAGGCTCATTCCACTGAACGCAGATGAAATCGATTGCGTTGAAACTGGTGGCTGAACTGACGCTTGTTGATGTGCTGATGTCTGTGATTGTTGCTGTTTCATTGCAGGTGCAGTCGATGGAGCACCTGGAGTATTTACAGAAGGCGGATTCTGCTGTTGCTTACCGATATTAGCGTATGCTGGTGGAAAGTGCCCAGAGGCTGAGAGACCAGCGGCGGTAGTGGAGACATGTGCTCCAGTAGTCCCAGTAACTGATCCAGCAGATGATGCTGGTGATTAACCAGTCATAGTTGACGGTAGTCTTAATTCCAGATAGCTCTCATACCATGAAATAAAACGTATGGTGTTGTAGTAGACTAAGTATAAAACTATAAACACGAACACTTGGCAAATCCTCAAGTGTTGGTCCAGGATCTTTGCTGGAATGGTAGACTAGTAAGACAGCGGAAGTCTTGTAAAAGTCAAGGTTGAATAACCTGAGTACGTGAACTTGTGAGTAATCAAAGTTAATAATAAAAAGACCTAACAAGTATTCATAGTTCTAGGAAAAGTACCTATTCGCTAATGTACTTGTTCGTCATTATCGCGCTATGCGCTCTAAACGATATTGAAGAGGTGCGAATGTTCGTGTGACTGAAACGACTGGCCTATGACGAGCGCTATTTGCTGACGTCACCCTACGGACTTATCTTCTACAGTATGATTCGACACTAACTACACTTAATCGACTTACAGAAATGCTAAGTATCAATTATATCACAAGAATACATATGTTCTATGTAGAAGTTATAGGCTAGAGTAGGTGTGTGCTTCTAGTGAGTACAACCCAACAGGTATATGTTCTAGGTTTCTCCTTCTAGTAATCATTCACGTATTCTAACATGGTATCGAGTAGGTTAGGTCCCCCCGCCCGCTTCCGCCCGCGCCCTAGTCTCTCGCCCGCCCTTAGCCGGCCCCCTGGCCGTCGCGTCCGCCCCTAGTCAGCCCCCTGGCCGTCGCGTTCGCCCCTAGCTGGCCCCCTAGCCGTCGCGTCCGCCCCTAGTCGGCCCCCTGGCCGTCTCGTCCGCCCCTAGCCGGCCCCCTGGCCGTCGCGTTCGTCCCTAGTCGGCCCCTTGGCCGTCGCGTCCGCCGCTAGTCGGCCCCCTGGCCGTGGCGTCCGCCCCTAGCCGGCCCGCTGGCGGTTGCGTTCGCCCCTAGCTGGCCCCCTGGCCGTCGCGTCCGCCCCTAGTCGGCCCCGTGGCCGTCGCGTTCGCCCCTAGCTGGCCCCCTGGCCGTCGCGTCCGCCCCTAGCTGGCTCCCTGGCTGTCGCGTTCGCCCCTAGTCGGCCCCTTGGCCGTCGCGTCCGCCCCTAGTCGGCCCCCTGGCCATCGTGTCCGCCCCTAGCCGGCCCCCTGGCCATCGCGTTTGCCCCTAGCTGGCCCCCTGGCCGTCGCGTCTGCCCCTAGTCGGCCCCCTGGCCGTCGCGTTCGCCCCTAGCTGGCCCCCTTGACGTCACGTCCGCCCCTAGGCGCCCCCCTGGCCGTCGCGTCCGCCCCTAGCCGGCCCCCTGGCCGTCGCATTCGCCCCTAGTCGGCCCCTTGACCGTCGCGTCCGCCCCTAGTCGGCCCCCAGGCCGTCGCGTCCGCCCCTAGCTGGCCCCCAGGCCATCGCGTCCGCCCTCAGCTGGCCCTCTGGCCGTTCGCGCCCGCTTCTAGCCGGCCCCCTGGCCGTCGCGCCCGCCCCTAGCTGGCCCCACTGGCCGTCGCGCCCGCTCCTAGCTGGCCCCCTGGCCGTCGCGTCCGCCCTCAGCTGGCCCCCTGGCCGTTCGCGCCCGCTCCTAGCCGGCCCTTTGGCCGTTCGCGGCCGCCCCTAGCTGGCCCCACTAGCCGTTGCGCCCGCTCCTGGCCGGCCTCCTGACCGTCGAGCCCGCTCCTAGCCGGCCCTAGCAGCACCTGCCCAGCCTCTTCCTAGCGCCGCCCGGCCTCTCCTACCGCTCGCCAGTCCCGGTGCGCCAGCCCGGCCCCTCCTAGCGCCAGCCCGGCCCTGTCACGCCTGCACGGTTTTCAGCGCCAGCCCGGCCCCTCCTCCTGCCCGCCTGGCCCCTCCTCGTGCCTGCTCGGCCTGCCGTGCCACCTCGGGCCCCGTGTCCTATGCTAGCCCGCGCCGGGGTGCCCCGCAGCCGCCCTACTGGAGAGTGCTGCCCCCGTGTCCCCGTGCCGCTGTGCTCCGGCCGAGCTGTGGAGCTGTGCCGCTGTATCGCTGAGGAGCTGTGTCACTGACCCTACACGATGGCTGACTTCGTGCTCCGCCTGGACGTTGAGGGCCACGCGGTTGACTTCGTTGCCTGGCTCTCCGATCTCCGCCGTCAGCTTACAAGTCAGCGCCAGGATGGGCACTCGTTGGTTGTCCATGCTGATGGCTTGCTCCCCTGCCCCCCTGCACCTGCTCCCCTCCCTGCTGACCCTATCTCCGCTGAGAGTGAGGCTTTCTCTACTGCTGCGCTTGCCTGTGCGGTCTGGGACTCACGCGATGCAGTAGCTCAGGTTGCTATCAGTCACGCCCTCCCTGTGTCTGAGCGCTCGCGTTTCGCTACAGTTGATATGGCCAGAGCTTATTTAGACGCTGTTATTGCTCGTTATTCCACACCTGCATCCGCTTCTGCCGGCCGCCTGCTCTTCCCGATGCTGTTCCCAGACCTTGCTGCCTTCCCTACTGTCGCAGACTTTGCAACTCACTTGCGTGCCCTAGAGACTCGCTATCGCACTGCCAGCACTGCTGCCCAGCTCACTGCGCTCTCCCCCCCATTCTGCATGACCCTCTATTTTATCGCCATACGCCTGCCGGACCGCCTAGCTAGTGCCCGCGACCGCTTCCTTAGCCAGCACCCGGGTGACCTCACATTGACCGCCTTTGTCGACACCCTCACCGAGATCGAGACGCGCCAGCGCACTATCGCTCAATCGAGCGGTGCGCCGGCAGTCTCTATCTTTCACGGCTGTGCCCCCTCCCAGTGCACGTTTACTGATGTTTCGGCTGCGGTCGCCACTGCGACCCCTCTTACCGAGACGGCAGCTGCGGTCCACCCGCAGCAGCGTCCGCGCCGCGGTGGCCGTGGCCGCCAGGGAGGTCGTGGTGGTGGCACTAGTGGTGGTGGTAGTGGTGGTGGTGACGGTAGCCCACCTGAGGGGACTTCCACCGGTGGGCAGGAGCAGACGCAGTCGCCTTCGCAGCCGGAGCAGCCCCAGCAGCAGCCGCCGCCGTCCCAGCAGCAGCCGTCGCAGCCGTGGGGTCGTCTCCCACCTGGTTGGCCCGGCACCTCCGGCGGTGGTGGCCGAGGTGGTGCCCCGCGCAGCTTGGCGTCTACCGGCAGCTCCAGTGCTGTGACCTGCCAGTACCAGCTTCAGACCGGGCCTCTCCGCGGCACTCTGTGCCGCCGCCCGCACCCGACCGCCCGCTGTTTCCGCCGCCTCGACGATCTCTTTCGTCGTCGCTTTGGCCAGGCCACGGACCTCCCCGACTGGCACAGCCTGCTTCGCCAAGGCGTGCCGATCTTTGAGTTAGATATGGATCAGATAGGTGCTGCTTTGCATGCCTTGTATGCTGACGCTTCTAGTGTTGCTAGATCTTATTACCCTATGTACTCTAGTTTAGGTGTCTCACCCTTGTGTAGCTTAGCCTCCCCTGCTGTGTCACGCGTAGGACTGCCAAGTTTGCCTAGCCTAGGTTCTGCACCGACTCCGTTCCCAGCCTCCGCCACTACCTCGCTGTCCTTCACTCTCGACTCCGGTGCTTTTGCCTGTTTCTTCCGCGACCGCTCCACGCTTACTCCGCTTGCTGCGCCTGCTGTTGTCTCTCTTGCTGACCCCTCTGCGGGTCCCGTCGTCGCTCGCAGTTCCACGTCCCTTCCCTGTCCAGCAGTTCCCTCGGGCTCTCTTACAGGCCTCCACGTTCCCTCGTTCTCGAGGAACCTGGTTGGTGTCGGCTGTCTTCAGGACCTCGGCGTCACCACTACGTTCCCCAGGCACAAGCGGTTCGTTGTCTGTTCTGAGGTTGTTTCAGGTTCCCTACTTGCTACGTTCCCCCGGGACCCGGTGTCCGGTCTGTTCACCCTAGACACCGCTTCCCCCCCGGTTGGTGCGTCCTCCCAGGTCGCTGCAGCTTGCTCGTGTCGGTCTCTCACTCACCCGTCCCTTTTGTGGCACCACCGCCTAGGTCACCCTGCACTCCCGCGTCTGCGTCACATATCCCAGCACGGTCTTGTCTTAGGCCTCCCCGCGTCGCTCCCCGCCCTTCCCCTCTCACCTGCTCTACCGTGCACGCCCTGGGTCGAGGGCCGGCTCCGCCGTGCCCCTCACTCCTCCTCGCTTCGCCCTGCTACTGCTCCCCTTCAGACCCTGCACCTGGACGTTTGGGGCCCAGCCCCCGTCCCTGGACCGCGTGGCGAGCGCTACTTTCTTGTGCTCGTCGACGACTACACGCGCTACACCACGGTGTTTCCTCTGGAGCGGAAGGCCAATGTGCCCGACGTTCTTCTCCCGTGGGTTGTGGCTGCGCGGCTTCACCGCAGTCTCCCTGTGTTGTGTCTCCACTCTGACCGTGGCGGCGAGTTCGCTTCTGGTCGGCTTGGACAGTTCTGTCGTGCGGAGGGCATCACCCAGTCGTACACCTTGCCGGACTCGCCACAGCAGAATGGGGTTGCTGAGCGCCGCATCGGCTTGGTCATGGAGGTGGCTCGTACCTCCATGATCCATGCCGGTGCACCCCATTTTCTGTGGCCGTTCGCCGTTCGCTACGCCCCTCACCAGCTTAACCTGTGGCCACGTTCCCAGCGGCCGCAGGTTTCGCCGACCCTCCTTTGGACCAGGTCCCCCGGTGACGGGTCTGCGTTCCACGTCTGGGGCTGCCTTGCTCACGTTCGTGCCTCTTGCATGGACAAGCTCATTGCCCGCATTGTCCCTTGTGTCTTCCTTGGTTTCCCCCTGGACTCGTCTGACTGGCTCTTCTACCACCTATCGTCTCACCGCTTCCTCCACTCTCGTGACGTCACCTTTGACGAGTCCGTCTCCTTCTATCCTCGCTTCCCTCACCGAGGTCTCCCAGTTTCCCCCCCCCTGTTCCTTGCCCCCTCTCCCCCGGTAGCCCCTCCTCCCCTCCCGCTGCATCCTGCCCCGTCTGGTGTCTCCCATGTCACTCCCCTCCCGTCAGTTGTCCCGGGTGAGGAGTCTGCTGACTCTGGTGGTCTCCCCGCTCCGCCTTTGCCGCGTCCCCCTTCCCTGGTGTCTCCGCCCCCGCTGTCGCAGCCGCCGCCGTCAT